TTCTCACCCACAAACTCCATATTCTTCTCCAAAAAAATAAAACCCACCTCACCAAATCCTCCGTAGCCCCACAACTTTGGTCCAAAATAGAAACTTAGTTGAGGCCTCAAAAAATGCAAGACCCAACATCATTTCAACCCATGAAACCCCAATTTCCAGAGCAAGAACAGCTGAAATGTCCACGCTGTGATTCCTCAAACACCAAGTTTTGCTACTACAACAACTACAATCTCTCACAGCCTCGTCACTTTTGCAAGAACTGCAGAAGGTACTGGACCAAAGGTGGCTCTCTGAGAAACATCCCTGTTGGTGGTGGAAGCAGAAAGAACACAAAGAGATCATCATCGTCTGCCTCAAAACGCTCCTCGTCAACTTCCTCATCATCAGTGTCAAGCTCATCAGCAGCAACCGCAGCAGCTCAGAACCCGGATCCACAGCCTGACCGGACCCGGGTCTACGGCCCGAAAATCGATCAAGACCGTGGGGTGCTGGACATTTCAGGGAGCTTCAGCTCACTCCTGGCTTCAAATGGGCAGTTTGGGTCTCTTCTGGAGGGTCTAAACCCAAATGGGTCGGGTCTAAAACTGATGCAAATGGGTGACTTTGGGGTGAACTTGGATTCAGGTAATGGGTTGAATTCGGATCCGGGTGTGAACCCGGGTTTGGAGGCCCAGAGCAATGGTAACCCGGAAAGCTATATGGGTTTGCAAAATGGTGATTCTTCAAGCTGTTGGAATGGGGGCAATGGGTGGCCTGACCTTGCCATTTATACACCAGGTTCAAGTTTTCAGTAGATATTATATTAATTACATGCATAATCTACTTTCTTAATGAAGCCTATGATATAATGTTTCATACTAAGCTAAGCATGAATGACTCTTAGTAGGCTTAATTGCTAAGCTAAGCAGCTAAAGCTCATAATTCTCTGATGTTATAGAGGTTGAGAAAACACCACAGAACCATACCAATAGCATTTTCTATATGTAATGTAATGGTTTCTTCTTTTCTCTCTTTTGTGTGGCTTTTTTGTTTGTTTGTATTTGATATAGCCTTTAATATTATTAAAAAATTTCTTTTTTGCTTTTCCCTTGGAGCCTTTGGAGGCCCCCCTTTATTGAAGGACATGGCTTTCTTCAACTATCACTCTCATTATATTATGGGTTGTATTGTATGATTCAATATTATGTCTATGTGCTTCTTGTTATAGTGGGTGAAGAAAGAAACCCACAATCTCTAATATAATATTTCTGCTAGGAGGAGCTTCTTGTCTTCTTTCATCTTATGCATGTGCTGTGACTGTGTGACATGTATGCAATAGTCTTGTATGCATGTGTGGCCTTTTCAAGAGTATGGGATTTGACATTTTTGTTGGCATTGTTGCTTATTAATAGGATAGTTTGATTTGCAAACTGGGTCTAGCCCAGTGAAAAAGGGCACTGGCTTGCAGACTAGTGGTGGTCGGAAGTTTGAACCCCCATGACCCCTTGATAGTGTGTGTAAGAAATCCCTTCTCTTGTAGTTTAGACTATCGTAGTTTAGAGTATCACGTGTATTTAAAAAAATATATAATTTGATTTAATCCACAAAGATAGGTATTTATATAGTATATATGCGCGCGCACACACAAAGGGATACTTAATTGTATTTTGTTGTGTGAAAAACAAATTGCTTGGGTTGGGAATGTCTTTATTATATCTCAAATTCATCAGAAGAAAAATTAAAGCATAATGAGGATGAGTTGGAGTTTGAGAAGATATGGGGAACCATAACTTCATTATTCACGTATTGTATTGTTTCCACTGTCTTTCATGGACCAGACAAAGCTCAACTTCCTATCTATTGGGAAATTATTTCTAACCCTAAAGACTCTGATTTGGTCTCATTCTTCTTCACCACTTGCCAAGGGTCTCTTTTATTTATTTATTTTCCTCTCTAGACCATATCTTCCAAGAACCAAATGGAACATGTATGTAATTGGGTGGACATTTTATGGGAGGGGAGCCCCAAACCCAAATAAATTCCCACCATTTGGGAACTTTTTATATTTTTATGAAGTCATGTATTTGCTTGTTTCTCGTTCTTTTCAAGAGACCATGAGTTTGATCCATCAAGATGGTACAAAATAGTGGGAGTTCATTTGTGTATTTTCTTTTTCAAATCTGTTGCTACACATATAAGCTGCATTTCCAAATTTTAAACTACTATGGTAAGAGTAATAAAACAAGATGAATTGAAATGCAGAAGCTCTTGATTTCAATAATAATAAACATGTCATCTTCTCAATCAATTCCTTGTCATTATATTTGACATGATGACTAGGTGTTTGATGCTGCCATGTCAGGCAATTTGGGTGAATTTTTCAAACCTTATCAATGCTTGGATGAAGCCCTGATTTAAATCCTAATTGTCAAGGTTAGCTGAATTCCATTTGAATTGGTACTTGTTTAATTCAAGAGCCAAATTTTATTCAAAGATGTTGAAATCATCAAGGACTCTCTCTCTCACATGGGCCCCACAATAATTTCTGTGCTCAACTGGATTTGCCTATATGATTAACTCTTTCCAAAATAGTACCAGACACAGGGGTGAAGATTTTTACTCACTTTGACGAAATGAAGAAAGAAAATTGGCTCCTAATGATTTTCTTTGTGCATTGATTTAGTGGACGTAAGCTAAACGCCAAGAATCAATAATTTGAAAGCAAAAGAAAAGTCCTTTACGAAAGCTGATGCTGTTAATTAATTTTGTAGGATCTGTGGGATGCATAAAACTGTGAACTATTGATTGATGTGTAACTCATTGTAAAATGTAACTTCGCTTCGAATGCCATATCAAAATTGTTTTTCGAATTCGGCCTCGTTCGATTTTTATCCTTCTTACCTACCCCAGTAGAGACAAAGCCGCGTCGGGCACGCGGCTCACTGTAGAGGGAAAATTACCATCCAAAACTAAATTGAAGGAGAAAATCATGACGTAAGAGCACTTCTAGCAATTGCGCCCTGCCATGGCAAAGGGGGTGTGGCTAGGGCAGTTACTATTTACGTGAATAGTAACTGCCATTGTAAAAAGCAATGTTGGTTTTCAGCAGTTGATATGGCAAAGGGCAAATACTATTCATTTTTATGTTTTTTTCACAAATTTGTTTAACTAAACAATTAATTTGAATAATATTTTAGGATAAGATTTTTGGTGTGGGAAGTGAAAAATATGACTAAGTATTTTTTATTTTTTTTAAATCTGAATTTTTTTGTATTTTTTTAGATTTTTTTGTTGTTAATGTCGTCGATGACGTCAGCCCACCTGAGTTTTGGACCTGGGGCTGGACTTGCCCTTGGGCCAGCCGTCTTTGTGGCCCCCACATGCAGCCCGGGCTAGCCTGCACTGCTGGAATTTGTTTTTCGCCCAAAACCCCCCCAGCCCGAGTCCAGCCTTAGCTGCTGGACTTGCTCTAATAGAGGTTGATGAAAGTTTGTGGAGCTAGTTGAGGGTTGATGAAGTTCACCATACTGACCACGGAGTGAAATAAGGAGGCAATTAACATGTAAAATGCTAATAGCCCTCGAGTCTTTGAGTTTGATTTTTACCATGCCAGAGTGTCAAGCAAGGTGGTAAGAGCAGGAAGCTAAGACTTTGCTTCCTTGCCACCCATTGAATGTGGTCAAATATCATCAATGATGCATGTGCTCTGTATGTAACTATATGTTGAGTAGACAGGTGTATTGGTCCTGATGATACTTGCATGCCCCCAACTGTACACGTGGATGCCTACCCATATTAGTCAATTTTTGTTTGACCAACTTTTTTTTGAATTGAAACTTCAACAAATGTAATGGTGTGTGTTACTAATCAGGAATCGGAATTCTCTGAATTCTATCTATTGAGGATTCATGAGTTTACTTAATATCAAGGAATTGAAAAGTAAGTGGGGCTCACACAAAATTAGGTTCCTAATTTTGGAGGAATTCAATTCTTGGGATGGAAGGTGGTATTCTAATTCATGGAGAATTAACCCTTTAGGAATTCATCTTTTTTACCTATTATATCCTCACACAATTTTTAAAATTTCAAATATGTCATTTACTTTGACCCAACAACGAGGATATTTTAGTAATTAGTACCACTCATACCCCAATTCCATATGGTTTAATAAACAACTTCAATATCTGGAATCTAACTTCTCTTAATCCATATGGTTTAGTAAACAACTTCATTAAGAATTCAGAATCTAATTCTCCTCAATCCAACTCCTCATTAATTCAATTCCTCCTAATCCAATTACGGATTAGTAAACATGTCATAAGTGTATTCACAGACCATGTAGATTGGGCCTTAACAAATATTCACTGATAATCTTAGACAAAGCAGAACGAAAGAAGCAGAGCGTTAGGTCAATTAGTCAGAGTAGTGAGTCTCTCTTCTTACATTAAGTTCAAATCTTCTTATCCGTAAATTAATCAAAGTAGTTTAAACTATCACTTGTATAAAAGTTAAAAAGTAAACATAAAAGAAAGAAAAAAGCATTACCCAACGAACCAACCAACAAAATTCTACCGTTTTTCTCATATGAAATTTAACATTGATTGATAAGGGTTTAAATTTTTTTTTTTTTTTAATGAAATGTAAATCATAAGGGTTTTATTTATTTGTTTATTGAGATAAAACAAATATAACATTAGGGACGGCTTGGGCCTTGTCGATGAAATCAGAGGCCATAGAAGACAAAGTAGAAACAATACACATTGTTATGGCCATGAAAGACAATCTTGGGCCTCTTGCATGCTGAATGAAATAAAATACATAAAAGAAGTCACAATCCACACCAGCCATGCTAATATCCTTCTCAGCCCATCTGTTTCTTTCATTTGTATGATGTTGACCGGCATGAGCCTGATACCATTTCACTCAGTCATCGCCTATCATCCATCTCCACTTGTTATCTTAACTCAAGCATCAAAGTGAATATATAACAATGAATTTTCATGAACGACAAGAAACGCACATTTGAATAACAATGAATTTTCATTTTAGTACACATTTAGGATAAAACTTCAATGTGACCAAAAAATTCCCTTACATAATTAAAACACATCTAAATATCAATGAATTTTCTTTCTAACACACATTGGGGCAAACTTCAATTGCACGAGATACAGTTTCGTAGAATCTAACCCCTGTGAAATGTAAACTGGAAGGGTATTTCAAATTTGATTGAGATGAGATCAAGGAAAGATCACATAGGGACAGTACGGGCCTTGTACATGCAAATATAGGCCATATGCCAATCACCTGAAACAAGCAGCACCAAAAAATTGTTTAGCGTAACGCACAATTTTAGGGTTATTCAGAGAACCACATGGCAGCCCTGAGCAAAATTCATGCTATTATACACGTTAAGAACTCTCGGCAATCTTACCTCCTCCAGAGAGTTTGGTGATGTCTTCCTCCCGCTGTGGGATGGGATTGTCATCATCATACTCGATCCATTTCCCTTGAACCAACAAAAGAAGTCCATGAGTTAAAAGGTTTGAATTAATCACATGCAAACAAAGTAGAAGTTATTCCAGAGAACTGACCACTTTCTTGCTTGACCCAGGCAACATAATGGCCTGAGTCAGCACTACGACCCTTGTGTGTCAGCACAGCAACCAAATCATAAATTCCAGTCATGGCACCTGCAGCTAAAGGACAGCCACTTAGTGAAATAAGTGCAAACTAGGGATTCAAAGAACCCAAGTAGAACACAGAAAAAACTTCCACAGGTTGAGCAAAGAAGATTCGTTAACTTTTACCTTCATCCGGCGTAGGATTAGATGCTTCTCCACTTCCATTTGAAGATCCCTGTATGCAGAAAAGAGGTTTGAGATGCTTTTGACATAATCAAATAGGCATTTCATTTGTTTTTTTGTAAGTCTATAGCTAGGTTGTGTAATCACCTCCACATCGGACATCTTGATATCATTGTCTTTTGAACCAGAGCTCTTTTCATTGGATTTCAAACCAAGTTTTTTACCTTCCTCATCTCTCAGAGTCTGATAATTGAGGTTGGAAGTAATTAGGACAAAGACACAAGAAATAACAAACAATATTTTTGGAAAATATTAACTTAAGTTAATCAAAATCGAAGGGAAGTATATACCCGGCGAGGAGCTTCCAATCTTTTGCGAAGATCATCTGAACAGAGATCGAAAATATCCAATTGCAAAGGGTAATCCACTTTCTGAGATAAGGGAAAAAAGTTTAATAGGCAGTGATTCTAATAACTTTTGTATAATAAGATACAAGTGCACTAGATTTGCAAGGAAAACTGTCAAGGGTACTCAACAAATCCGCAAAGCATTATTCTCTCCAAGAAAATACTTTAATTTCCTCCTAAAATGATATGGAAAGAGACAAAAGACAAATCTGTGTATTAGGAGAAAAGAAAACAGGCATTACCCGCAAAATCTTGGCCTTCTGATTTGATTCTCTCTTCCAGAAAAAACGGACAAACTGAATGGTCAAGTACCTTGAGCGAAAAATAAAATTGAAAATTCGGGTTAACTATATGATATTCGTTTCTTTCTTTTTTCTTTGGGTTAAATTCAAAGGCCAGACTAAAACTCAATTTTAGCCACATACCCAGAAAATAAAGGACAAAGGAGTCTGAATAGACAAACTTAAAGAAAGTAATCTAATGCATCGAAATTGTAACGTCATAAGTTACTGAATGGACAACGTGATAGTGTAACTCATATAGTTGGAGACTGCAAGACTACATGTTGGTGAGTTACAAGCTACAATGATAGTTTGTACCTTGGAAGGCCATTGATACAAGACTCCTTCAGGTAGATCGCACTACGCCCCAAAGAAGGAGAATTTTTTTCCAATTCCGATTTTAAAGCCTACATGAATTAGTGTAATAAATGAGAACCTTGTAATTTTTATCTTGTATCTTAAAAATATCATCACATGTTCTAGCACACACAAATAAGATCTCCTATATAGATGTGAATGTGATTACACTTACATGTTTTAACCCTTCGTGCAAATGGTTCACCTCATGTGATATGTGGCATTTAAGGGAATACACTGATTCTGTTTCCGAGCTTTCTTCCCCACTTTCTACGCAGTGCACCCTAGCATCCCACCAAATCAATAAATACAAGAAATGTTAGCAAAGTTCAGCTTCATAAAATAAACTGAACAATTTATAACTCGTAAAAGGCTGATTCAGAAAAATTAATATATAACAAATAATGAACTTCGACAAGCCAGTAATATATCAAGCCAGAAAGAAAAACAAAATCACCCAATTGATAAGGTAACAAACGTTAGCATAAGCCAGACAAACTGAACAAATTATTCATACATTAATTTACTTAATTTTTCAGAACAATCCATCCAGAATCATGAAGAATATGTTGATAATCTCATAATAATAAACAAGCAAACTGTTTAAAAGGTAATCTGAGACTGCTATTGAGTGTTAAGCAATATCTAATCAGATTACAGTAGCTGATAAGTTGCGGATATCTAACCTGCTAACAAGTTCAACGCCGAAAAGGGCCTTAACTGTGTCTGGACTTTCACTGCAAGAGAACATCATACGTTATAATTTTCCTACATGTATTTATATGGCAGAACACTGGCAAATAAACAAAGAGAACACAAAAATTGCTACTAGACCTAAAAGAACTAAGAAGTTGAAAGAATAAAAAACACGCTTACAAAAGTATTACTAACCAAATTTAGCATAGTTAACAATTGAGGTGGGGATCCATAGATCATTAGTTTAAGAAGACTCAATTCCAACATGGTTAACAATTGAGGTGGGGACTCAGTTCGAAACCACTTGCAGTTCCTATAATACATATAGAACCAAAAAATGATAATAATAACCTACCTAGAACCCGATGATCTTAGAGACTGAGAAAGGGTGTACAAAAGCTGTGTCCAACATTCTTCAGCATCCTGTTACACATTTAGAACAAAATGATCAATAAACTACAAGAGTAACTAGCGTTAAGCAGCAAGCAGTGTTACAATAAGGTAAAAAATCATTTGAAAACCTGTTGCATGAAGGTATTATTATGCAGCTGACCAAATTGAGGATACTTCTTACGCAATACCTGCAATATAATAGCAAATCAACTCATTACTCTTTCCCCTAGCAGTAAGAAACTACGAATCCAGGAACTAATAATTTATCAGGCTCCCTGACATAGTTTCTCTGAAAGTTTTGATAGTAAAAATGCAAGAAAATTAAGATTATACTAAGGAGTTTCTGATGCTTCATAGAGATATAAAAAGTGGTTAGAGAAATTAGTTTAAATAGTGAATAAAGATAACAAACCATCCAAAATTGCATGGGTGCCACAGCCTTGACACTTTTATCCAGTTCACCAAATAAATCACGAGTTGCAATAGTCAACATATGAGAAGTCTGATCCACATCATTGCTTCTTCCAGAATGTGAATACCTGAAGAAATAATATATTTTCATTACTAGTCTAAGGTTATTAAAAAAAAACATATATATTGCAAGTAAATTGATATGCATTCTTTAACTGAACAAGCCAACTTACTTTATCAAAGCTGACTTCAACTCTGGAACTGAATGCAGACATTGTACGGTGGAGTTCATATAACAGGTGTTTCCTAAATTAAATAGACCAGCACTATGACCCTGGAAGTATAAATAACACAGGGTGAGATAATTTATACATGATGCAAAAAGAAAAAAAAAATCAAATATTGAAACCCGAAATAAAACCATGGAATTCAGAAACACAAAAAAAGTCTAACTAAGTTACAAAGACAGAAAAGAAAAAACAAGTCCTTTTAGGACTGAACCTCCAAAGACATAAGGGCATAATGGAGAATTCAATGAAGCCATTATTTCTGATAATGATTCACATGTCAGGTGAGAAGAAAATAACTTATTTGTATTACTAGTCAACTAGGACACCTACCACAATAGTACAACACAACATCATAACGAAGGTCAAAATCACAGAAAAGTAAGAACAAATCAAATGTTACAGAGCCACACACACACACACACACACACACACACACACACACACACACACACACACACACACACACACACACACACACACACACACACACACACACACACACACACACACACACACACACACACACACACACACACACACACACACACACACACACACACACACACACACACACACACACACACACACACACACACACACACACACACACACACACACACACACACACACACACACACACACACACACACACACACACACACACACACACACACACACACACACACACACACACACACACACACACACACACACACACACACACACACACACACACACACACACACACACACACACACACACACACACACACACACACACACACACACACACACACACACACACACACACACACACACACACACACACACACACACACATAAGAACAAATCAAATGTTACAGAGCCACACACACACACACACACACACACACACACACACAAAAGACAATGCAAAACTCTAAATGGCAGAAATAGGGGAAGTTTGCAAACAGTATCACAAGCATATCATAATAACAGCATGAGATCAAAGAGAACAAGAAGGGAAAAAAATATATGTTTCCTACAACTGAAAAGAAAAGACAGCTTCTATTTAAAGGTGCAGACTTACTACTTACCAAGTTAATAGCTTGTTCTTCTTCTGGGAGATCTTCCACAAAAACAGGACCCTTCTCTGGAGCCTTGACAATCTCATCTGCTGTCCCCATCATCATCAATTTTTGACCCTATACAAAGATATATAATCGATAATTTCTTTTTCTCCTATGAAAGGTTATAGATTTGTGATTAAACCATAAATAAGAAGCGAACAAATTCACTTCAACAATAACCAACCTCTTTGACTCCTAATGTCGACCACTCTGCATCATCCTGCATTTAAAAAAAGACACACACACACACACACAAAAGAAGTTAGGCACATACTAGACAGCTTCATCTGGGCACATTACAGGAAGTTTTAATTAGACATGTGCAGAAGGATTTACTTCATCAATACAGTATCAAGAAGAAGGATACACATATATATAATGGGACAATTTCACTAAGCCGAAAGCCATCTGTTTACCTTCAATAAACCACCTTTAACCATTATCTTCTGTCTTTCAGGAGGTACCCCGGTTAAGTCGTATAATTGGCATTTGAATACATAAGGGGGCTGAGTAGTGTCAATTTCCACAGCTTTAAACATCTCCTTTTGCCATTTTACACTAACTACAAATGGGTAATAAATCACAGTTGTCAAAAACAGAATCTACAAACTCAAGTTACAAGTTACAAATCTACAGAACATCAAATGAATAACACAATTATTAATTTAGATGCTTTTATTGTCCTCAAATTAACCTGACAGAGTCTAGAAAAAATTTGCGACCGAGCTAAAACTAGTTTATTTATTTCTGATAAGAGTCTGGAGTCTTGGAAAACTGATTTTTCAGCAACATCTTAGATTCTTCGATAGTATGTCATCAACATTGTTACATAAGTTGAAAATAGCAAAAGACACCAAATAGACTGAGAAGTATATATGCGTTGCACTCTACGCCCTAAAGACGAAAATTGAATCACTCCACTTCAATACGAAAAACCCACATCAGAAATCCAAAGCTCGCAAAGACCCAGATCCTAATTTGCAACTATAAGCCGCAAATCGAGCTCAAATTGCTCAGAAAGACGGATGAACAAAATGCTTAACCGTATCAAATATCACAAATCTCCAGTTACCTAGATCACAGAATTGAATGAAAAGCCCTAAGTGCGCCCCCAAAGTGAACAGAAATGCTCAAAATTAAAAAGAACAAGTAAAAATACCAATTTGGACTATAAATAAAATCAATATCTAATATATCTTAGATGAGAAATTAAGCTCGACAGGCGCTCTAACCGGTAATCATGGTTGAAAAGCTTTGCTACTTCAAAGATCGGTAGGAGACGGAGGTTCGGGTTTTTTGTAGAGTTTAGCTTGGAGAACAGGCAAAGACAAATGTGCTTTGCTCTGCCGTGCTTGTATGTTCTAGGCTTCTGGCTTTCGCTTTATAGAGAGCGAGTCCGAGCCCGGATCCGTAGCAAAAATGAATAATTCGGCTACTTGCGGTGCGGATAACCCATAATTGGAAATACGGTATTAGAAATACTAAAATTTGGTTTTTTTTTTATAAATAAAAATTGCTCGTGATAAAGAGGATTTTTTTATTTTTTTTATTTTTTATACAAGAAATATTGTTGGAGGGAAGAACTGAACACAGGCCTTCAGGTGCATTGATAAATCTTTATAGGGCCAGTTTGAGATTGCCTGCGCATGATTGGCCCCAGGCCTGCACAAGATAGCCCATTAATAAGAACTATCATGCCTCAGCAGCTAGGAGCAAACAGGTGTGGTGGGCCAGGCGCGGAGGGATAGCCCATGTGAAATTGTGATGGGCCTTAATTTAATTGAAGTGGCAGTGCAACATGAGACACGTAAGTCTAAGGGTTCATGGAAACATCAAACTCCGGACAAGTGGCGGTGGGGTTCCAAAGACTACTGGGAAGGGAGGTATCAGTCGGGTGGAAACAGATGTGGTGTGACACGGCAACAGACGCATGCGAGAGGACCAGAACCAAGCCAACATGGGGTTCGCTCTGTATTTGGCGCGATCACCCAATACAGGGTTTTGTGCGGAAAGTAAGGGCTAAGCAAGATCGATTATCTAAATGGAGTAATGAGATTTTTGGAGGGAGAATCAAAGAGGCTCAGAAGTTGTGAGCCCAGCTCGGAATACTGTTCCGGCAACCATGGACCCCATCAGTTTTAGAGGAGCAACATGTGGTGCAAAAACGCAAGATCGATTATCTTATTTTAATGAGCTGTTCTGTTCTAGTTTTCCACCATGTGCACATGCCATTTTGGACACTGTGGATGCTAGGTTACAGATGAGATGAATAATCACCTAGCTAGTGGAAGAGGTAACAATGACATACGAGGAGATTCGGGCGGCGACTTTCCAGATGCATTCGTCAAAGGCCCCCAGCCCAGATGGTTTGAATCCCTTTCTCTATACCAAAAATATTGGAGCCTAGTCAGAACGGATGTCTACCGAGCTGTTCGAGCCTTCTTACATTATGAAGATATGCTATGGCAGACTGGCAGGTTAACTCTACTCATGTAGTGCTCATACCAAAGGTGCCGGAACCGCAGGATATGACACAATTACGGGCAATCAGACTTTGTAACATCATATATCGTATTGGAGCTAAGGTGGTAGCCAATAGATTGAAATTGGTGCTTGAATTTGTGATACAATATTGTCAAAGCGCTTTTGTTCCGAGGCGTTTGATTTCGGATAATACCATCATCGCTTTTCTTTTGAGCTTGCTCATGCGTTAAACAGGAGAAGGAGAGGGAAGAAGGGTTTCATGGTGTTAAAGCTTGACATGATCGAGCAAGGCTTATGACCGTATTGAATGGCCTTTTTTGGAACAGATGTTGCTAAAGCTAGGTTTCCATCCTAGGTGGGTGACAATGATTATGGGTTGTGTGCGAATTGTATCTTATTCTTTTCTTGTTCTTTTCAATTTATGACAACTAGTTCGTTAATATTACAACTAAGTAGTGAGTGTAATGCACTGTCTATCTTACCATTAATAGTTTAACTATATATATTATGAACCATTAATACATTATTACTACTTTGTTTAAGATAAACTACCTAGTATTACAGTTTATTCATTAATTATATTAGTTAATACTAATCAGTTCAATATAATATTTGTGTTACCATTAGTATATTAAAATTAATATCTATATTGGAATTAGTATATCTAATGTAACTCAAGGTTTGTTTGGGAGTGTTTCTAGACACTTTGTGGTTGTGTGTTCTCTTTAGATTAATTCAACTTGTTGTTGCGTTTGGTCACTAGAGAAGATTTATCCATATTTAGGGCACCATTATTGCTTTGTACTTGTGTTTTTTCATCACTATTTATTATTGTTTATTCTAAAATTTATATATATAAAAATAAAAATAAAAACTAAAAGTGCTTTATGACAACCATAATTGCTTCTTATAGTGTTTGGCAAAAAAACTTGTAAGTGTTTGTGGGTCACAAAAATGCTTTATAGAGGTGCCTTTTCAGGAATCAATTTCCATTAGAAAAGATTTATCCATATTTAGGCACCATTATTGCTTTGTACTTGTGTTTTTTCATCACTATTTATTATTGTTTATTCTAAAAAATTTATATTAAAAAAAAAAAAACTAAAAGTGCTTTATGACAACCATAATTGCTTCTTATAGTGTTTGGCAAAAAAATGCTTTATAGAGGTGCCTTTTCAGTAATCAATTTCAAGAGCTTATGAGAAGCAATTGGATTTTCAATAAATTTTTTTATGTTCTTCTAATATAAGCGCTAAAAGTATTTATGAACAAAAGTTCTTCAAACATAAGTATTTCCAAACGAGCCTAATGATTATAAAAATTGGGACATACCAAATTGTTAATAGGAATATTAGTACTAGAATATAGTATATGTTTTGTTATTAGAGATTCCACACAAAGAATTGAAATCCCTATATGAAATGCTTATCCTTACTCTTAATCTTAATGATACTCATATGACTACATAAATAATATGTTTTCTTTTATCAAGGGGACATGGAAGTGGAGGAATATAATTTAGGACCCAACATAATGAATATGTCTTCATGCAATACATAAATGATTTATCTCTTTTAATATGTACTATGTTTTTGTTGTTGCCAAAGTTAGAAAGAGGGAGGGGCTTTTCTCACACACACATTGCCAAAATACAATGAGAGTTCGAATATGAGATCATTGATATGTACAATTAGAAATATTAATCGTTTAGCGTTGGTATCTATTTACTAATATTTCAGTTAATACTTCAACATATTTTGGTATATACTTTGATTTTGTTCGGTAATTCCGTTTATGCTAAAATCAAACCAACTGGTATGCCTTTGGATTCTTCGATTTTCGAATCGTAAAATCTAAGTAACGAACTAAAAAATTTCGATTTGTAACTAGTCGGTTAGGTTTTCATATCATATCAATTGGCGGTCTAGTATCTAACTATGATTATAATAATGGAGGAAGACAATGCTTTTCATAAACACAACGATTATGATGATAATAATCAAATAACCTCACAATTTCATACTTAAATCGATGAGCAATGTTGGGCTTTTTCTTTTTATCACAAGGAATTCCTCTTTTAATTAGGGGATTCTTAAGCCCTAACCAAACGACGCCGCTTTCAACATAAACACGAGATCAACCAGAAGAGGAACATTTTTGGTGCGCCCTGTTTGTGACTCGAGCAAATCCACGACAACAAATCCCAATTCCACGCTAATTCCGTCTCTCTCTAAACCTCTCACCAATGTACTCAACAAAGCCCGCCCGAGTTGGCGGCGGTGGCTCTGGCCGAGGAACCGGAGCCGCCAAGCTTGGCCGAGCCTCCTTCCCTCCACCGCACCGCTCCTCCGCCCAAACCAGCCGCCTCTCCCTCGGTGGCGGTGTCTCCAACCCCAGAAGCCGCAACTCAGGCCCCGCCACGTCAGCAACCGCCGCTGCGCCTGCCGTGGAAGAGCAGTTCAGTTTAGTCGCCGGCCATAACCCACTTGCCTTCTCTATGATCATTCGTATGGCGCCCGACTTGGCCGAAGAGATCAAACGCGTCGAGGCCCAAGGTGGGGCCCCCCGCATCAAATTTGGTCCTCTGCCCAATAATCCCATTGGCAATGTGAGTATCTGGGGCAGTATTTGAACTGAGTACTGCTTAATTTTTGCTAATTTTGTTGGGTTCTGGAAATTTATATTTTAGTGTTTGTGATTTGCCTATGCGTCTCTTGGTCGTGTTTCAATGATTTCTCATTTCGTTCTTTAAATTCTGTTGATTTATGAAGTTTCATAGAGAAAAAAAATTTGTGCTTGTACTTTTGGTTTGTGTTCTCCTTGGTTAGTTTTCAAATTTTAACTATTTTCTGTAGGTTACGGAATATTTTATTATTGTTCTGATGATCTTGTACTTGGTTTATGAGTAATTCTTCAATTGGGTTTTGCTTAAATCCTTAAATTTATTATTGGCAGACTTAGGAGTATTTGTTTCGTTCATACTTTTAATTTTTTCTTATCTTTTACGAGGCAACGTTGAGCTGACTTTTGGTTAGGTGCAGCTTATATAGTTCAAATCATATTCCTTTTGTTACTTTTTGTAGAATTATTACTTCGTCAACTAATTGGGTTTCCTGTAAAATTATTCATCTGGTGGGGTTGATGTTTTTTGGAGTTTTTGGGATAGTTTGTGCTCCCCATATGATAAAATTTGAATGCTTTTAAGCGTTTCCATTGGGATATTTGGAATTTTCTTCATAGTAGCTAGTCTTTAATATAGGTGCAGCAATTATCTTAACGTTTTCATTGCTTTGAATGGTTCAACATTGCATCAGGTTATTGATCTGGATGGGAAGGAGTTTACATTTACATGGTCGCGGGAATTTGGAGACCTCTGTGACATTTATGAAGAGCGTGAAAGTGGTGAAAGTGGAAATGGATTGCTAGTTGAATCAGGATGTGCATGGCGCAAAGTAAATGTGCAGCGTATCTTAGATGAGTCAACTAAGAACCATGTTAAAATGCGGTCAGAGGAAGCTGAGCGCAAGCATAAATCCCGCAAGTACGTAATCTGGTTGCTATCTCGGAGTTTCTTTACTTTATCATTATTCAGTGTCGATATTCATAATCTTCGGTTTCTTTTATTGTGTCCCAATTATATTTTTAATCCGCATCTCCATTGGTTGCTGTCTTGGTGGTTACAAAATAAAACACTATTTTAGGTGGTACTTAGATGCTAATAATATCATTATAACCCACTCCTAAATGATAGAAAAAATTGTTTTTCATCCATTCCAGATGATCTTCCTATAGTACATGTTTAAAATTTATTTTCAGTCGTGATCATTTTTGTGTGGCTCTGGTTAGCCATTAGTTATTTGTTTCAAGACTTTATGAGTACAATTATGAGAGGGTTAAAGTCTTTTGTGGTGCAACTCAGTTATGTCTTTGAGCTTTTTAGACTGTTGTCTTATTCCTTTGTTGTATCAAT